ATGAGTGGCAAACAGACACACATCCTGTCACACTTACGCCAAAGGATATACCCACCCACCCAGGGCAGAATTGTGGGCAATTAAGCGCAGTGCTTAAGCCTGATGAGGTTTTCAGCGTGAGATAAATATCAAAGAAATAAAAGAGAGCAGCCCGGCCACATTTGTCAGTAGAGCTGTCGGATTTCCAAACACAGAGAGAATTCTCAGAATCATTAGAAGATTTGAGAAAGAAAGGGCTATCAGAATTATTAGTAATAGTGCCTAGAAAAGGCATGACCGGTTTCCTGTTTAAATATTTATATGATATATCAGAACTTATTTATTAATTTCTTTCACTGCACTTAAATAAACTTGTACATGAATCCGTGGCACTGCCGCAGAGTAATAATTGCGCCTTCGAATGACTGTTATTTGCTGAAGGAGGAGGACGCGCAAGTATGGGATTAATTTGATTACACTCTTCTATGGGGGACTAGAGTGGAGGCGGCTACTTTAACGCGCTCGATGGGCTCGAGGAGCCTTTGCTGATTACAGGCTCAATTCAACTCTATCGGGGGGGAGCTGGGGTGGACAGACTCCAGCTAGTCGAGGGTTATTTGCCACCTGTTGAGCTGTCCTGGGACGGGGGCACATTGAACCTTTGCCAACTTTTCGCCACAGAACTTTGGCAAACATTCGCCAGACATTAAATTCTATTTCGAGTGGTGTTTCATTAGGATCTAAACATAAATTAGCCCTTTGAGTCGATTTAAGTTGTATTTGTCCAGGGTCTGGTGTCTGGCTGGCTGACTCGCTGGCTGGCTGGCTGGCTGTCTGTTGCTTTGTTTAAAGTTCAAAAAGCGTGAAATGCTAACAAGTTAATTGAAATTCCTGCAGCGTTTCACGTGCGATTGTTTGCTTTCAGGACACGACAAGAAAAAGTCAACTCACCCGACGAAACGACGAAAGGAAAGAATTTCTTTTCATTTCAGTTTTTCCTTTATTTTTGCCTTTATTTTCCATTGCCTCCTTGCCATTTCCTCTTGGCTGGGCAAACACTTTGCTGGTGTGAAAAAAATGTAGACAAGTGTAAATTTATACTCCCCCCTGGTGTGGGGGTGTGGAAAGGGGGTGGAGCCACTTAGGGTTTCTTTCCGAGAGAAATATGAGAACTTGCAGCTTTGACGTGAGCCATAAAGAAAAATTTAAATATATCTCTAAGTGCGCCATTGTTTATTCAGCGCGACTTCAAATAGACAGATAGTATCTCGGCATCTGCATATATACGAGTTGTATTCCATTTCCACATCAGGTGTGTGTGTGTGCCGAAAGTCAAACAAAAACTACTGCACAGTTTATTGTACATCGGAGCGCAACTTTTGGCGGAGTTATTTTCCAACTTCCCAGCAAAACCCCATAAAGGAGTCCAAGGATACGTATGCCGTTTACAATACCCAAGTTGCCAAACTATCCCAAATGCAGATGATAAGAGTGGCTGGTCGGAGGATTCAGGTTTAGCTGCCTGGGATTTACGTAACCGACATTCGGTGTGTATAAATATAAACCGTGGAGCCGCTAAAAGCCACACCGCATCAAAATGGCCCCGGGGAAATGCGTCAAAACGGGAGAATGTGTAGCCACATTTTCATACAACGTTATTGGGTTTGATTCGGTTTATGGCCACACTGTGAAAAAATGGTGGATTCCCCAACTTTGTGACTTATTTTAATGCATGCTTCTTATTTTAATAAATTTTTATAAAAAGCACAGAGAGGGACAATTAAATTGTTGCAGAAATACTTTTCCATTCTCTTTGGCGGGAACTTTTTGGGGCAGGGTAGGGTATGTGGCATTGGGGATTATTGCACAAAGCGCATAAACTTGTTAAATATGCAAAATGCCCTCTATCTGTTTTTTTTTACTCTGCGGTAAATGCATTGCGGGTTGGAGGTCGAAGGGCGGGGATCTCCTGTCAGTCGCAAATTTCTGCCTTCATCCTGGGTATTATGATAAATGATTTGTCAGCAGCGAGTTAAACAGCAGGCCAGGCGGCATAAATTATGTACGATGGCAAAAGGTCAAAGGTGGCAAGCTGCCTTTGCCACAAACGATGCCAGATGCCCGATGCCTCTGGGGCATGTGAGGGCATCTTCATTAATGTCAAACTAGACGACTTCTTTCGGTCTTTGAAACGCTCTGTCAGTTTTCCAGTCGAGTGCAGTCGGCAAACTATTTTAATTAGTTTCTTGCCAGCCGAAAAGTTTATTCAACCTTTGATTACCTTAACCGACCAAAAAAAAACAAAGATAAAAAGCGAAAACAGAGCACAAAGAAAAAAAAACAGATGTCGTGCCTGTGCAATATAAAATCGATGATCCATTGAAGGATCCAAATAGGTGATTAGGTAATGGTAATGGTAATTGGCTTGGGCGCAGGACGCACCCATCCTGGCCACTCCTAGAATCCTCCGATGGGGTCTGGGGGGTGGTAAAATGGAGTGCGCCAAGTCGATTGGAAAGCAATTCGCTTGCCCTTGCCATGCATAAAATATGAGGCAACCAGGGGCCATAACTCAATTTGGTGCTCCATGCATCCTCCTCTTCCATTTCCCATATTCCATATTCCAGGACCGACATACCCATTTGGCATCATCATCAAATCGAAATCGCTGGTATTGGTATCGATATAAAAATAAAATGCTTGTCTGCAATTTGGTTTAGTTCAAAAGCCCATCAAACTCATTATGTAGCATTCAGGCTGGCCTTTAACCATATGAGCTGTTTTAGGGCGGTTCTACTTCGAAAATACTTCATACGTATCATATGAAACATAAGATACTAGGGCCACCCTAATACACACTGATGAAGGCTAAAATATATGTATTTTTTTGAGGCCGCTTCCTTTTGTTTGTTTTGACAGACGAATCCCCGACATGGGGAGCCTGTGTGACAGAGGATTTAGCACTCAGCGCCAGCTGGACTCAAATCAGCAGAAAAAAAAATCAGGGATGGCTGGCTGGGTGGCTCTGTGGGTTGGGTGGGTGCCTGATTATGATTCGCCTCTTGTATAACATATGAAATATGAACAAGATGGACAAGAGAGCGTGCATAAGCGGTGTGTTTTTTCCTGAGCCGGAAACGACCCTCATCAATATGGATATTTTGTCTGACGGACATGTGGGGCCTGTTCGCGGTGCTTAAGTTTTTCCTCGGAACTTTACAAATTAATTGCATAAATAAATAATTTCCATAGTAATTACAAAAAGGCAAGTCAGTGCAAGCACTTCAGTGGAAAGCGATGCAGGACCTTAGTTTGCATATAAATCAAAATGCTAATGCAATCAAATCGATATTTGCATTTTGCGAAATCTTGCAAATTCGTAATTACGTAATGACGCAAACGGATTACGAGCCACAGACGTTTAGCTTTAATTGCGCTTCCGTTTCCGTTACAAGGTTGGGGCAAAACTCAAGGTAACTTTTGGTAGCCTTTCCCCTGCAGATGCCGCCAAAAAAGGCTCAGTAAAGGCAGAGAGAAATGGCTTAAATGGATTTCAATGGCTTTGCTCTAAATAAGGTGAGATGAACTTCATAAAATGGCATTTAAATCATAAACTTGTTTATAAAAATATACCAAAACAAAACTAAACTATTTATGTCATCTTATGAATTTTAAACTGACTGCTTCACATAATTAATCAACTGAAAAATAAATCAAAGAGACCACTCCGATTTTGGTCAATTAACATTTTACAATCAATCGAGAAGTCATAAAAATGTTCGGGGATCATTTAGCAATTGACCAGATCTTCCATACAAACAAATGAATGTTAATCTGGCCGGCCGATTGATGATCTGCCATTCCGAACATCTCAATCGAGTTGGACGGGTATTGCTCGGAGCCACCTTATGAGTTAGCATATGAATCGCATTATGAGCTCTTTTGTTGGTGACTGTCCATCTTCGGATCAAAATTGTATATCCACCTGAAAGAGAGATATCTTTTTTGGAGTTGTCGGGCCGGCATATCGAATGACAAGACAAACGACCGACGATATGCTTTTAATGCGCATTGTCAGGCATAAAGAGGCGACGATTAAAAATCAATATAAATACACCGATTCTTATTGTCAACGCACTACAAAAGGAAGCTAAAACCAGACGATCTGGACACGCTCTCGGCTATATAGAAATCATTATGCTAATTGAATGGATGGTGGCTCAACCCCATGTAAGCTGACCACTCATAAATTTGATTTATTCAGCCGCATCGAACCGAATTTGCATAATTATAATGGCGTAAAGAGCCAGAGTCGCCTCTTAGTCTGAGCCTCTACAAAACCTGACCCCTGATCTATTACTGGGATCTGAGAAAAAAAAAATTGGAAAGATTGCGATTGTATCTTCAGCGCGAGTTGGTCCCTGGTCTGGCCAGATTTGGTGGCACCTTGTGATCGATCCAACTGGATTGGAGTGCCGACTTCACAACAAGATCACAGGTTCTAGTGACGGCTTGTTAAAATTATAAATTAACGAAAATGGAAAACTAACTTTGGGTTAAGGCGAAGCTTATAGACCTTATACATATATATACACCTTCTTATTATAAAAAAAAAGTTGGCTAATTGGAGAAAATATCTCAGCCATTTCCAATTTTGATTGAAAATGATAGTTCTGGAAGATCTAAGAAGGAAGATGTATAACAGTTGCCAATCGCAAAATGAAAAATGGGCACAAATTCCCTCCGATCTGTTTCAAAATATAGGAAATCTTCTAGAAAAATGTATATAACCCTCTGCAAGGGTAAAATACTCTGATCTTCTATGCATAAATCACGTGCCAGCCGTGCACAAAACAGAATTAGATTTCACACAAAAAACTCACTGGATGCCCAGAGAATGGAGAATGGCAGGCTGCCTAGTCGAGTTTGTAGAAATTTATGTAAATGCACGAGACCCTGAACTTGAAACGAGTCTTCGGAGCAGAAGCCGCTCCACTAGCTTCAGTCTGCTGTTGAACTATTCGGAGATCGGTTGGATTTTATAGACTGGGAGCTGCTCCAGGGAGAGATATTGTTGGACATATTGGATAAAACTGCAAGGACCATGTACTGGACTACTTTTTGGGTAAATTAAAAAGTGAAAAATATTAAATTCAGGTTTTTGACTATTATGAACATTAGTGTGATTTGTGTAATTGATTAATCAATCAATCTTCTTGACTTATAAATTAAATTCGTATAAAACTTATTTAATTTAAAGCTAATATATCAATGTTGAAAAAAAAAACCTTGAAATTAAGTTACTAATTTATATTTAAAACAAAATAAAGGCCTAAAAGTTGCCAATCGGTTTCTATATATTTTGAAGGTGACATTTCTGCGTTTTAGTTTGAAGTTTTTGTGGAATATTTTAGCTGATTGCAGTTTATTTTTCAGATATTTACTCTGTTAGCCATGGCGAGTGCCGCTACTCAGGGCCGGGACTATCTGCCACGCCCGCCGGCCAGGACTTACGTGTACAACGCCCCTCCGCCCAGCACGATGGTCGCTTTGCGTCGCATCATCCAAGGACACCTGGACCGGTTCCAGCAGGCGGATCAGGCCCATTTCTCCCGGCGATCCCAGCTCCAGCAGGCAAAAGCAGATGTGGGGGCGGAAAAGCGACCCCAGGTTATGCAATTGTGGCTAGTTCCGGCCGGATCCGCTGGATCGGCATCGGATAATGTTTTGGAATACGCCTTGCCGCCCAACACGCCGACGCCAAAGAATTACGCCCGGAACTTCCTGCCGGAGGGCCGGGATGTGGTACCCGGAAGCTCTTACATACCGCTACGGTTGCTGGTGATAAAGCGATGAGGCATTTCGATATTTTCGCTTCGAGAGATGTTTTCGTTTTCCAAGGCGGCAGCGGCAGCGTTTGTTGTCCAAACGAGTTCGTGTGCGGCTTCTGGCTGTGGAATGTCAACGACAACCAGTAAATGGCTAATTTGCTTTAATCCTACTGGTTCTCTCGGCCAATTTTAGATTATAGTTTAGCTTAGAGTAGTTCGTCTAGCTGGCATTTCAGTTCGCCCAATCTAAATTAACTCACCACCATCCCTCCAGAGCCATGACTAAGACTAAGACTTGCGACCTTATCGCATCCAATAAAACAAAACCGAAATCAAGCCAGCCAGCCGTGTGCCTTCGTCGTAATCTATGAAATACATTCACCAAAAACTAAGTTGTCATCTCATTTACATAAATTAGAAGTCATAAATTTGAAGTGAGCGGGGAACCACTTGCTACCGATTGGGAGCTTTAAGCGGTTAAGACTCAAAACATCGGCAAGGCAGTTGACAAGCAGTTTATGAAAAGCTTTCAAACGCTTAAAGCTCAAAAAGCTTATGTTGGTTCATATCTTTTCTAAGCTTGTGGCATTTAATATTTTTGTTAGTCCATGTTAATATTATTTTAAGTTATATGATTATATTCATGTTTTCATAAATGGCAGTTATGATAATTCACTTATTTATTGGAACTTTTTATTCCTTTTGCTTTAAATTCAAATATGTTTTTTTAAAAAAAAGAGCATCTTCTTTTTTTGAAAGTTTAATAAATAGAGAAATCTAGAACCGGTTTTTATCAATTACCAATCATTACAAACGCCTTTAGGAATAAAGATTGTAATGCATAATTACCATAAACTTTTAGTCGCATTTGAATAAATAATTTCATTTATTAAAGATAAGTCATTACACACTAAGACTTTGATATCTGGCTTAAGTTTTAATTTGAGTCAGATTGAAATATGACTATAACGTACATTATTCATTTTTGCCGATAATCTTCTTCGAACATTATTTAATTTTGGATATTTTAAGTAACTTAATTTAAGTTATTGAACTGAATTATTTGAATTAGGTTTGTATTTTTCGCATCGAGGATAAAGTATTTTGACTTCCTTGACTCACGGGATCCATTGCTATGTCTGAGGTATCCGGCTCTCTTACGAGGTTCTTCCTGCTCTTCAGGCAACACAATCTCATCCATGCCAGTTGGTTATCCTTTTTGAAAGCTACGAAGTAGAGGAACAATATGAAGCCTTGTAGTGGGGTCGTTATGCAGAAGAGGTAGGAGAAGACTATGCCGAACCCGAAAACCACACACAGGCCAAAGATCCAGGAGATGCCCAGCAGAAAGAATTGCAGGGCGAAGAGTCGCATCTGAATCTTGATCTTACGTTGGATCAGGTTCTGGTCAACTTTCCAAAAAATAATCCCAACTATCAGAGTGTTGACCGAAGTTACCAGTCCAATGGGCAGAATCACGCCCAGGCCAAGACCTCGGCCAGAGGGATAACAGATGATTGGAAGCTCCTGGGTTGGGTCCGTGGGAATGTAGGATTGGCCATCCAGGAACACCACCAATAGAGTGGGCACCAGGGGTAGTGCCCAGGCCACAATCGCTGACATTAGAATGTAATGATCTGGGTGGGAAACCCCCACCACAGTGACGTATCTCTTGTACTGCAGGAAGGCTATGATCAGCATCCAGGCAAAAACGACCAGCAGGAGGTACTGCATCAGGGCTCCCATGAAAATGCACTCATCGATATTGAAACGTTCCTTGAGCTTAACTTGGTCCAAGATCTTGACGTTACTCACAACCAGAAAGACGATCAACTGGATGGCCAAGGCAAAGCAGAAGTTAAGTAATATTTTCGTGGAGGCCATTCTCCTAAAATGACTGAACACAATTGCCGTAAGAAAAATAATGAAGATCCCTCCGAGAGACAAGCACAGTCCCACATTGGTTAAAATATCCAATATGTAGTCGTGAAGGTCTGGCGTATCAGTTTTACGCCCACCCACTCCCAAAAGAAATGTGAACTGGGTGAGATGATCGGCGAAGCAAAGGATCATGGAATTATTAATGAAGTTAGAGCCGGCACTGGCCAATGTGGAAACACCGTCACTGAGCCATGTCGCATAATTCCAGTAGCCACATCCACCCTCCGAGAGATTGGGGTCTGTGTTGCCATTTCGCAAGAAAATGGGCAGCTTCCCGGGTAAATTATGTTCTGAAAAAAAAGATATAATGAGGTTATAAACTTAGCGGTCTAATGTGTCATAAGAGAGACGAGGATAAAGATTTTAAGGATATTTAATTAAATCTATTAACTTATTTTGAATTTTATCAAATGCAATACTTTGTTCTATTCTCTAGTGATTCATACGTCAAACAATATCTTTTATCTATTTACCATGCCATCCCGATATGGTTATGGAGATAACGACGCTGGTGGGTCGCCTGTGGAGCTCCTCCTCCGTTTCCACAAAAAGAACATCTTGTTTGTAGACCTTGAAGATAAGATATTTTGCCCCCTTTTTCTTCACCTCTTGCCAGAGCTTATCGGGCAAAAATGCTGCAGACTCCAGATTCTCAAGATTTCTAATATTTTCCGTCTGATTTGATGAATATATAACGTTATAGCTCCACTGGCTACTCTTGACGTTCCAGTGCAAGGAAATGCCAGTGACATTGGCAATGTCAGGATTCACAAAGAATACACTTAGATTGCTGCTGATAAGTGCCTTGACTCCCAGTTCCCAATAGATCTCTGACTTGATGACATCATTGGAGGCTGGGCTGGGGTCCGATTCCCGAATTTCGGATAACAGTTTAGGGGCCAAGGCATTCAGATTATCCTCGAAGTTGATGAGAAGGGTATTTGTGGCATTGAGTTCGGCGGACAACCGAAGAGTCTCCTTTTCAGTTTCCATAACTTTAAGGCTTATGCCAATGAGATGCGTTGCCATTGAGGCCTCTTTGTCAGGTATGTCGAAGGAGTTCTTTATAATCTCGGCAATACTTGAAATATCTACGGGCTTGAGCGTTACGTTGGAATGATTGAGAATTTCGTTTAGCTGGGGTATCATATCCGGGGGCTTCTCCGTAACCAGCAGGTTGAGATGAGAGCTTAACTCCTGGGGCTCATAGCACCTAATTTTGTCGTCATCCTCCCATTTACGATCGCCATCCCGAAGCTCACATTTCAACTTCTGAGGCAGACCCCTCCGATCCAAGCACAGATATTTAAAATATGCCGATTCTCCGACTCTTGTTTTCGGTACATAATTTTCACGTTTTTTAGTCCCGTCGTTAGTGACGTATTTAAGTTTAATTTTGTCCTTATCACAATGACCTCGATGGCAGGTTTCCCAGGGATTTTTAACGAGCTTATCGTCTTCGTCCTTGCAGAGCAAGTATGGAATATATTTTAAATGGCAAAAGTCCAAACATTTTCCCACATCCACGCGCGGTTCCCGATAATCCTTTTCATCCGTGGAATCCTTTTCATCACCGATCACACCGATAAAACCATTACAAATGAGCAGTAGCACCAGAGCCAGCATATTTTCCGCGAACGATAAGAATTATTTGTGCACGGAGAAATAGTGGTGTTCGCGGTTCCGAGTTTATGGAAAGACTGATGAGAACGAGAAGGCATCTCCGAGCTTGAGCCGATAAAGTTTGAATCATGTTCTTATTATACCCTACAAATGGGGTAGGGCATCTTTAAATTTTTTACTTATCTGGTTGAGGACTATATCTTATATTCATTTATATTAAAATATGGTAATTATAACACGAACAAATGCCATAAATGCCCTTAAAGATTGCGATGGTGAAAGGTTTACTGATTCACCTTTCAGATTATGGAGCGAAAAATATAAAAAAAAAATATTTACAGGGACAATTAAACTATTTACAGAGTGTTTGGAAGACAGTTGATATTTTGTGTACTTTCTTAATTGTAGTCTCTCTGAACCTGAGAGATTCCTATAAGGCATTCTCACTGAATCTTGGAGGAGAAAAAAAATATATTTATGCATGCATTTCATAGATTGTGGAGCTGCTTGCGGTTTCATTATTTTATCTACAAGATAGAGGTTTTTTTTAAAACTTCGCTTTGTTCTCTAAGAAACTTATATGACGTACAACTATTTATACCTTATTTCTCTAAAATAGTAACAAGAGATAATCTATAGAAAAATGTGTTTATTTTTACTTTTATCAAGTAATTACTGTTTGTTTTTGATTTTCAAAATCAAGAATAAATAAGTACAATGATTCAGGTGTTAATTGCTTTTTAAAGAGCAGAATAACAGTTTATGCAGTAACATGATTTTCTGTCAGTGTTTTATCCGTAAATCATCCGCTTATAAGATCAAATCTGTCGATAGGTGGCAACAGAGTTAGCCGCGTGAATAATTAGATGCGCTGCCACTTGAGCGGCTGCCACCAACATCGTCGATGATCACTTGATATTTTTTTATTGTTTCTCAATTGCTACTTAAGATTTTTTTTTTATTTTTCGCGCGCGCCACTTAAAACGAGATTGTTGGTCGGTTCCGGAGGCACCTCAAATGTTACTCGCAAAGGGGCTTTACAGAGATTGATTAGAGCTCAACATAGTTCAGTCCTCCGTGTATTTATAATATAGGGAAAAACGCCATTTTCAAGGGATCCCATCACGAAAAATGGACAAAAAATCTTAAATATATTTTGTCTCAGGATTTTGATGCAGAATGATGGAGAATCGATCTAGAAATCGTTTAAGGAACTTCGCTTGAGAATCGGAAGAGAATTGAGGAAGATATAGCCATCACTGTGTACCCTATAGGGCAAAACCCTATTTTCAAAGGATCCCAACACGAAAAATGGACAAAAAATCTAAAATATATTTTGTCTCAGGATTTTGATGCAGAATGGTGGCGAATCGATCTATAAATAGTTTGAGGTACTCCGCTTGCGAATCGGATGATAATTGGGAAAGATATAGCCATCACTGTGTACCCTATAGGGCAAAACCCCATTTTCAAGGGATCCCAACACAAAAAATGGACAAAAAATCTAAAATATACTTTGTCTCAGGAATTTGATGCAGAATAGTGGAGAATTGATCTATAAATCGTTTAAGGTACTCCGCTTGAGAATCGGAAGAGAATTGAGGAAGATATAGCCATCACTGTGTACCCTATAGGGCAAAACCCCATTTTCAAGGGATCCCAACACGAAAAATGGACAAAAAATCTGAAAAATATTTTGTCTCAGGATTTTGATGCAGAATGGTGGCGAATCGATCTAGAAATCGTTTGAGGTACTCCGTTTAAGAATCGGATGATAATTGGGAAAGATATAGCCATCACTGTGTACCCTATAGGGCAAACCCCCATTTTCAAGGGATCCCAACACGAAAAATGGACAAAAAATCTGAAAAATATTTTGTCTCAGGATTTTGATGCAGAATGGTGGCGAATCGATCTAGAAATCGTTTGAGGTACTCCGCTTGGGAATCGGATGAGAATTGGGAAAGATATAGCCATCACTGTGGGCCATGTAGAGGAAAACCCCATTTTCAAGGGATACCATCACGAAAAATGGACAAAAAATTTAAAAAATATTTTGTCTCAGGATTTTGACGCAGAATGGTAGCGAATCGATCTAGAAATTGTTTGAGGTACTCCGCTTGGGAATCGGATGAGAATTGGGAAAGATGTAGCCATCACTGTGGGCCATGTAGGGCAAAACCCCATTTTCAAGGGATACCATCACGAAAAATGGACAAAAAATCTGAAAAATATTTTGTCTCAGGATTTTGATGCAGAATGGTGGCAAATCGATCTAGAAATCGTTTGAGGTACTCCTCCTGCGAATCGGATGATAGTTGGGAAAGATATAGCCATCACTGTGTACTCTATAGGGCAAAACCCCATTTTCAAGGGATCCCAACACAAAAAATGGACAAAAAATCTAAAATATATTTTGTCTCAGGAATTTGATGCAGAATGATGGAGAATCGATCTAGAAATCGTTTAAGGTACTCCGCTTGAGAATCGGAAGAGAATTGAGGAAGATATAGCCATCACTGTGTATCCTATAGGGCAAAACCCCATTTTCAAGGGATACCATCACGAAAAATGGACAAAAAATCTAAAAAATATCTTGTCTCAGGATTTTGATGCAGAATGGTAGCAAACCGATCTAGAAATCGTTTGAGGTACTCCGCTGGGGAATCGGATGAGAATTGGGAAAGATATAGCCATCACCGTGGGCCATGTAGGGGAAAATCCCATTTTCAAGGGATACCATCACGAAAAATGGACAAAAAATCTAAAAAATATTTTGTCTCAGGATTTTGATGCAGAATGGTGGCGAATCGATCTAGAAATCGTTTAAGGTACTCCTCTTGCGAATCGGATGATAATTGGGAAAGATACAGCCATCACTGTGTACCCTATAGGGCAAAACCCCATGTTCAATGGATCTTAACACGAAAAATGGACAAAAAATCTAAAATATATTTTGTCTCAGGAATTTGATGCAGAATGATGGAGAATCGATTTAGAAATCGTTTGAGGTACTCCGCTTGGGAATCGGATGAGAATTGGGAAAGATGTAGCCATCACTGTGGGCCATGTAGGGGAAAACCCCATTTTCAAGGGATACCATCACGAAAAATGGACAAAAAATTTGAAAAATATTTTGTCTCAGGATTTTCATGCAGAATGGTGACAAATCGATCTAGAAATCGTTTGAGGTACTCCTCTTGCGAATCGGATGATAACTGGGAAAGATATAGCCATCACTGTGTACCCTATAGGGCAAAACCCCATTTTCAAGGGATACCATCATGAAAAATGGACAAAAAATCTAAAAAATATTTTGTCTCAGGAAATTGATGCAGAATGGTGGCGAATCGATCTAGAAATCGTTTAAGGTACTCCTCTTGCGAATCGGATGATAACTGGGAAAGATATAGCCATCACTGTGTACCCTATAGGGAAAAACCCCATTTTCAAGGGATCCCAACACAAAAAATGGACAAAAAATCTAAAATATATTTTGTCTCAGGAAATTGATGCAGAATGATGGAGAATCGATCTAGAAATCGTTTAAGGTACTCCGCTTGAGAATCGGAAGAGAATTGGGGAAGATATAGCCATCACTGTGTACCCTATAGGGCAAAACTCCATTTTCAAGGGATCCCAACACGAAAAATGGACGAAAAATCTTAAAAATAAAGATATAGCCATCACTGTGTACCCTATAGGGCAAAACCCCATTTTCAAGGGATCCCAACACACAAAATGGACAAAAAATCTGAAAAATATTTTGTCTCAGGATTTTGATGCAGAATGGTGGCGAATCGATCTAGAAATCGTTTGAGGTACTCCGTTTGAGAATCGGATGATAATTGGGAAAGATATAGCCATCACTGTGTACCCTATAGGGCAAAACCCCATTTTCAAGGGATCCCAACACAAAAAATGGACAAAAAATCTAAAATATACTTTGTCTCAGGAATTTGATGCAGAATAGTGGAGAATTGATCTATAAATCGTTTAAGGTACTCCGCTTGAGAATCGGAAGAGAATTGAGGAAGATATAGCCATCACTGTGTACCCTATAGGGCAAAACCCCATTTTCAAGGGATCCCAACACGAAAAATGGACAAAAAATCTGAAAAATATTTTGTCTCAGGATTTTGATGCAGAATGGTGGCGAATCGATCTAGAAATCGTTTGAGGTACTCCGTTTAAGAATCGGATGATAATTGGGAAAGATATAGCCATCACTGTGTACCCTATAGGGCAAACCCCCATTTTCAAGGGATCCCAACACACAAAATGGACAAAAAATCTGAAAAATATTTTGTCTCAGGATTTTGATGCAGAATGGTGGCGAATCGATCTAGAAATCGTTTGAGGTACTCCGCTTGGGAATCGGATGAGAATTGGGAAAGATATAGCCATCACTGTGGGCCATGTAGAGGAAAACCCCATTTTCAAGGGATACCATCACGAAAAATGGACAAAAATTTAAAAATATTTTGTCTCAGGATTTTGACGCAGCATGGTAGCGAATCGATCTAGAAATTGTTTGAGGTACTCCGCTTGGGAATCGGATGAGAATTGGGAAAGATGTAGCCATCACTGTGGGCCATGTAGGGCAAAACCCCATTTTCAAGGGATACCATCACGAAAAATGGACAAAAAATCTGAAAAATATTTTGTCTCAGGATTTTGATGCAGAATGGTGGCAAATCGATCTAGAAATCGTTTGAGGTACTCCTCCTGCGAATCGGATGATAGTTGGGAAAGATATAGCCATCACTGTGTACTCTATAGGGCAAAACCCCATTTTCAAGGGATCCCAACACAAAAAATGGACAAAAAATCTAAAATATATTTTGTCTCAGGAATTTGATGCAGAATGATGGAGAATCGATCTAGAAATCGTTTAAGGTACTCCGCTTGAGAATCGGAAGAGAATTGAGGAAGATATAGCCATCACTGTGTATCCTATAGGGCAAAACCCCATTTTCAAGGGATACCATCACGAAAAATGGACAAAAAATCTAAAAAATATCTTGTCTCAGGATTTTGATGCAGAATGGTAGCAAAC